ATTGCTTTGGTCCTCAGGGCATAGTGTGAGGCCAGAGAGTGGCAGCATGTGGACGAAGGCCTGGGGCAAGGCCGGAGCCAAGGAATGGTGTATTTCCAAAACCAGCCAAGGTGAATGGCAAGCAGGCAGAGGCTCTGGGGCAAGGCTGGAGCTGAGGAATGGCGTATCCCCTGACCTGGCTGATGCAAACGACAAGCGGACGGCATGCATTGCTTACCTTTGGTGAGCAGAGGAGGTGAGACATGGAGGCAAGGTGCGGAGATTAGCTGGGCACATAGCAAAGGCAAGATATATAGGGAGGGGTGGGGCAGAATGGGACAGGGCCAGCCATTGGTGTGATTAGTCCTATGAGAGTGCGGTTTGCACAGGCGCAGTGCAGCATACAAAGACCACCCTCTGTGTCTGTGCTGGTGAGATCAGCTGTTTTTTTAGCTCAGCTGAGGTGCGACAATCTGCTCTGCCTGTGAATCAGCTGACTAAAAAACCAGGGAATTTAGGGCAGGAAAAGGCGAGGGCAGGGGCGGGTGTGCGTGGCCTGCCAAAGGTGGTGTTTGCTGCTTCTCTGAACTACTCAAAATTTCCACTACCGGTATGCCCAAACCAGTCCGAACTGTAGGAATGCTATCTCTGATGTGACAGTATCTAAATATCTTCACCAGGACTTCATTGCTAACCCAACACATGCTTCTTTAATCTCCAACTTTCACTCCATAGATTTTGGAAGTTTTTTTTTATGAAACTAGGAAGCATTTTTAATGAGTCTTTTTTTTTTTTTACTGTTGTTAGCAAAATTATTCACTATTTTAGTATCTTCATTGCCAATTTTAAGGTTTGTTTTTATAGTTGTTGCATTTATATTTAATTTCAATCTCATTTTTTCACTATGTATCTTGACTTTCAATGCTAGAGTCTGTAGATCATTTGTATTTTCAAGTCCCAGACAAGTGCCCTTTAACATAGTACAGATTATTGGTGTGTCTTCCTCCAATTTTACCATTTAATCTGAATGATTACTTTTTGTGCTGTCTAACATAATCTCATCATTTTTCTGTAGCACCACAGTTCAGTGGCAATAACATGTAAGTCACATGTTCATTTCTAGAAGGTTGTTTAATGAAGATTATTTCTAATGAAAATGTATTCATATTTTTCAGGAATCCTAACAAAAATTAAGTTCTATTTTTTTATTAAAATTGGTGGAAAAAACAAAGGAAGCTGCCTTTTAGTAAATGCTTTTCCACCATTATCTTCAACTGCTCTGGTCCAGCACTAGGATACTAGTTAACATATTTTAAAGCAGGATTGAGAAATGGATCTCTGTTATTATTTAGTATTAGCCGGAGCCAGCATTGCTAATCACCAGGGAAGATGAGGTTTGAAATTCAACCATCATCAGGACAAGAAAACTCCTACATACGTATTTTTTTGTAGCATTGCCTCGTTGGATATTGTGGTATTTTCATATAACATAGTGATAACATAGTCTTCTTTTCTGTTCTTCACTACACACAATTTTTACTTGTTTGAATCTGATATTGCCTTTGAACACAGAAGCTTTAGTTTATATGGCCAAATGAGACCATAAGAGCTGAGCTTCTCAGTAGTTTACAGTGTGAAATTAGTAATCATGTTTTGGAAAGACTGATCCAGTCACCTTAGCAGCTGACTGAATCATATGCCTTTGCCCTTGAAATTCCACAAGAGATGTTAGAAACCTTTAAAGTATTTATTTTAGAGAACAGCATAGAAGCTGGAGAATTTGCAAAGGACATAGATTCCATGTCTTTCCTTCTATGCAAAGCTTTTTCTCATTTGTGATTCCTGATGTCTTGCTGCAACAGAGACAAAGCTTGAAACCTATGCTAAGGCAAAAACAGCATCGGTAGCAATGTATGACTATTATAGCCAAGATATATAATGATATCACTTAGACTGCACTTAAAGGACAGCAAATTTGACAAGCACTGGCTAGAACATTCCAAATAATGCATTACTCTTTTCGAAAAAGAAACTTTAAGATTATTGGTATAGTTTTAAAATCATATCATTAATGCTGCTGTGAAATGTTTTTATCTTCAGTTAGAGAAGATGCAATCAGATCTGTATTAGAACAAGACTGGCAAATGTAAATTTTGCTTCTTTCACATCTAATTTCATGGTCTGTCTCCACAAAGACATTGCTAATTTCTGACAGCCAGAAGCCATGTAATGTAGTATAATGTATTCATTCTGAATTCTTGGGACACCATGAAAAAGCTATTTTTCTTTGACTTTAAAGAACTTTTTAATCTGTTCAATGATTCTGAAGTACGTATAGATTTAATTTCTAGTAGTCTACCTGGATATATTGATTGACAACCAGAGAATTAAGTAATAAATACTATTATGATAATAACTATTTTAAAGAACCTATTAAGCCTGTTAACAATGGAAAGAGCTAGAATTTGAGGGAGAATAAGAAATCAATGGTAAAGATGGACTCCAATAGTCGTTAGTGACTATTGGAGGCAGTGCTCATATCTGTTTCAAGGCCATTGAGCCAGCATATTTCCGTGGTCATGTGGCCAGCATGGTGTCATGGAGTGCTGTTGCCTTCCCACTGAAATACAAGTAATCCCGAAGTTAGGACAGTTCACTTAGTGGCCATTTAAAGTTATGACCTAATCCCCCCCATGTACTTATAACACAATCCCAAAATTATGAATGTTGCAGCACCACAACTGTCATTCACACTTACAAATAACCACAGAAGCTCTGCAACATTCACTCTGCTTATTCCATCACTCCCTATCTGTGTCTCTATAGATACTAGGCTTGTGGATATTCACGTTTTGAAGATCTAGGGAGCCTTCCATTTCTTGGCTTCTTGGCCTCTTCAGTGCTTCAGGACTTTGCTGAGTTTGAAGAGAATGGAGGCCTAAAGGAAAGCAAGATCACACGAGATCAATAGCGTGAGATCTCGCTGGCCTCATGGTATTCTAGGCCTCTATTCTCTTCAAATGGAGGCCTGGATGAGACCTGCAGCAAAAGGCTTTGCAAATGGAGGGAAGGCCTGAAGCACCTAAACCTTTCCTCCCTTTGCAAAGCCTTTTGCTATATTTGCAAAAATCCTTTATTGCCAAGAACGGAGGCCAGGAGGGGCATGTGCGTTCCCCCAGGCCTCTGTTCTTGTCAGCAAAGGCTTCTTCAAGCCCTTTGCCAATGAGAATGGAGCCCTGGAGGAAGCACACTGACATCCTCATCTCCGTTCTCATTGGCAAAGGGCTTGAGGAGGTCTTTGCTGATGAGAATGGAGGCCTGGAGGGACGTACATGGCCGTCCTAGGCTCTGTTTTCATCGCAAAGGGCTTGAGATCTTTGCCAATGACAACGGAGGCCCAGAGGAATGCATGTGGCCATCCTGGACTCCATTCTTATCAGCAAAGGCTTTCTGCAAAAATGACCTTCCCTATCCTAAGATAGGAAATACAGGGACAAAAGCAGGGAGAGGTCACTTTAAGTTACATGATTCCTACCAATCCTAGGGTTATGAATGTAATTGGCAGTCAATCAGTGATCAACAATACTCAAGGTGTAATCCTCAATGGAACTGCACCTACATGGAGGGAGGTATACAGTGGGATACATCAAGGCTCTGTCTTAGGCCCAGTACTCTTTCATATCTTCGTGGAAGCTTTAGATAAGGGAATAGATGGGACTCTTCAATTTTGCAGATGACACCAATCTGGCACGAATAGCCAATACTCCCCAAAATAGGCTCAAGATATACAAGGATCTTGACAGACTGTTCCCTATCTAACAAAATGAAATTCAGTGGTGAGAAAAATAAACTTCTACATTCAGGCAAAAAACCCAAACACAGAGATATAATATAGTATAGGTGGTACCTGGTTCAAAAATAGTATCTGTGAGAGGGATCTTGGAGTTCTAGCGGACGATCACTTAGATATGAGCCAGAAGTGTGCTGCAGCTGCCAAAAAAGCCAACACAGCCTTAGGCTTCATTAACAAAGGGATAGAATCAAGATCATGTGAATGTCAATCCCACTTTATAATGCTTTGGTAATTATTGCATCCAGTTTTGGTCACCACGATATAAAAAAGATAGAGATTCTAGAAACAGTGCAGAGAACAGCAACTAAGATTATTAGGGGACCGGAAGCTAAAACATATGAAGGAATTGCAGGAATTGGCTACATCAAGTTTAATGAAAAGAAGGACTAGGAGTTACATGATAGCAGTATTCCAATATCTGAGGGATGTCAGAAAGAAGCAGGGGTCAATCTGTTCTCCAAAGCACCTGAAGGCGAGGCAAGAAGCAATGGATGGAAAATAATCAAGGAAAGAACCAATCTAGAACTAAGGAGAAATTTCCTGAAAGTTGGACCAATTAATCAGTGGAATGAGTTGCCTTCAGAAGTTATGGGTGCTCTAACACTTTTAAGAAGTGATTGGACTATCATTTGTCTGAAGTATAGAAGTATAGGATTTCCTACTTGAATAGAAGATTGGACTAGATGATCTCCAAGGTCTCTTCCAATTCTGTTATCCTGTTAAATAGAAGATAGTATTTGCTACCAAAATAGGCTTGCTATGCCATTGATGACAATAAAAATACCATCTCCATGTTTGTGTCAGGAAACAATGACAGTCAAGCACATATTCATATTCACTACATTACACTTTGCCAGTAAAGGCAGCCCCACTCCAATATTTCTCTGCTTTTTCTGCGTCAAAAAAGTACTGTCCAAACTAGGCCAGGGAAACTAGTCCTCTATTAAGTATTTTGCTTGTAAAAATAACTGTACTTATTAACTGAGGGTTCTTTTGATCTTTTGGACTTGGAGAATATGGATCTTCTACCTGTGGGTTCTTTCAAATAGGTAAGGTAGAGATGAGATACCCAGTTCAGAAGGTTGTAAACAACTCTTTGATTTAGAAACTCATTTTCCAGGAAGATGCTAAAGTATTGCTGTTCCAACAAGCCTTTGGAAATTCACACTTGCATTTGGCTCTTCATATTATCAGTGAACAATTTTAATTTCTAAATTAATTGGCCATGGTTCCCCACCCCTGCTCTAAACCATCTTCCAAACAGATTTTATCAAACATATACAGTACAGGAAATGCTATTTATAGAGAAACCACAGATCTGATAAAAGCGACACCCATAATACTTAAATAAACCACACACTAAAAACCAATGAATCCTTAACACAATCCATAGATTTGATTGATTGATTGATTGATTGGATTTCTATGCTGCCCATATAACTGCTACAGAAACTCTGGGAAGCTTACAATGCAAAAAAAAAAAAAAATTAAAGTGCAAAAACAGTTACAATAGAACAAAATGTTAAAATTAGAAACCAAGATGTTTGGTAGCTTTATTTTATCTTTTTATTAAAATTGGGGATGAGAATCTTTGGCATCAACCATCACTACACTCAGTCATCTCCAATATGCAGGTGCCTGTTAGGACTCCAGGATAAGGGGCAGAGCCAATATTTTAGGCTTTTCCAGAAGCCAGAAATGTGGGAGTAGATTCACCTGTGACAGAATATTCCAGAGGGCAGGGGCCACAGCAGGGCCTCCTGAATCCCACTGAAATTCTTTGGCTGATGGGATCTGACCTTTCTACTAGAATGAATTGGGCATTTTTAATTCATCTTATGGTTAGAATAGTACTTTTCAGTTCAATTTTTCTTCATGTTCAAAAATGTACTGCTTTCACATGGTCTGGGTTTAATAATATTTTCAAATAACTCAATGTTTATAACTTCAGCATTGGTTCTTTTATTTGATTGGTTACTTGAATAAGCACCTGTAATTTCTTAATAATTTTTTTAAAATAAATGTGCATTTCGTCCAGATAGAAAAAGAAGGGGCGTTGGTCTTACCTGATACGCCTTTTCTCTTTGGGTGGAGATAGCATCCAGGAATGGGTTGACCTCGTCTTGCTAGCTGATTGGACTGAGTCTGTCAGAGCTGTAAGGACATGCTTCTGTTACCAATGGTCCCCAGCTTTTGGCAAAGGCGTAGAGACAGACTGACATGTTTTCTTGATGATGGTGTGTACCGCTGCATTTGGATCAGACCTCCTGAAAGGTGGGACTGGTTGCTATCTCCACCCAAAGAGAAAAGGCATATCAGGTAAGACCAATACCCCTTCTCTTATCTTTGGGTGGAGATAGTATCCAGGAATGGGACATACCAAAGCTGGCTTGTCCTAAGGGTGGGGCTCAGTCTGGTATGAAATCCCCTAGTCAGGGTGGACCTTCTGCAGGACTTGCCTGCCAAAGGTCACGTCTGCTGAGGCAAAGGAGTCCAGCTTATAATGTTTGATGAATGAGGATAGCAAGGACCATGTGGCTGTTCAGCAAACCACCTCAAGAGAGGCCTGGGTGACCCATGCTGCTGTCGTGGCCACATTCCTTGTGGAATGTGCTGTTATGTGTCGAGGCACTGGAATGCCCTGGGACTGGTAAGCCCTGGCAATGCACATCCTGATCCACCACCCCACAGTTGATGGAATGACCTTGCAGACCTCTTCATGAAAGGGAAAGTTCTTTTAATATACATGCAGAGGGTCCTCCTGGCATCCAAAGTGTGCCACTTCTTCTCCAGGGCATGAACTGGTTTTGGACAGAAGTTGGGCAATAAAAGCTCCTGGGCCCTGTGGAACCAGTTCACCTTTGGGATAAAGGAAGGGTCCAACCTCAAAACTACCCTGTTGGGGTGAAAGATACAGAGGTCCTTCCTGACGGAGAGAGCAGCCATGTCCAAAATCCATCTAGCCAAAGTAATGGCTATCAGGAAGTCCACCTTACAGGATAGGAATTGTAGAGTGGTAGACCTCAGTGGTTCGAAGGTGCTTCGGTCAGCGAATGCAGTACCCTGAAGAGGTCTCATGTGGGGTATCAATGAACCACTGGTGGCTGGAGGTTTGTTGCACTGCTAATGAACCTGCAGACAGTTGGGTGCCAGGCCAGGAACTCCCCCCCACCCCAAGGAAAGTAGCGAAGACAATGGCTGCCACCTGATGTCGGATAGTGCTGGAGGACAGCCCTTTGTCTAGCCCCTCCTGGAGGAATTCCAGCACTCCACTGCAGGATCCAACCTTCACCTTGAGCAGAGAAGGCCCTCCAGGTCACATCATATATGTGATTGGTGGAAAGCCTCCTGGATGCCTGGGTAGTCTGTAACACTGTGGAGGAGTAATTGTCCCACATCAGAAATCCCTGCTCAAGCACCAGGCAGTCAACTGGAGCCACTGAGGGTCTGGTGGACCAAGGCCCCCTGGCTGAGAGACACTCTGTCCAGCAGTATCCTCCAAGGGCTGGTCACCAATAGGTTACCAGGTCAGCAACCATGGTCATCTGGGCCAGCGAGGGCAATAAGCGAAAGCTCTGCTCTTTCCCTAGAAAGTTTCCATATCACCCTCGGGATAAGGGGAAGGGGTGGAAAGGTATAGAGGGGTCAAGGACTGTGAAGGGCATCTATCCTCCCCCCCCAGAACTGCAAACCTGGAGAAGAATCTTGGAAGTTATGTGTTGTCCTGAGAGGTGAACAGGTCCATGGCTGGCTGTCCAAAATGCTCCATCAGCTCCTGAAACAAATTTGGGTGAAGGCACCACTCTGCATGGTTTATCGTGGCCTGCTAAGCCAGTCTGCCTGCATGTTTGACACTCTAGAAATATGTTCAGCCCTGAGACACATATGGTACCTCTCTGCCCAGAGGCAAAGCTGCTCTGCCTCTAGCATCAGGGGCCTGGAGTGCGTTCCCCCTGATGATTTATATGTGCCCTAGTGGTCCCATTGTCCATTAGGACCAGGACATGACTATCCAATACAATGTCCTGGAACCGCTTCAGGGCCAGATGAAGTGCCCTAAGTTCCAACCAATTTTTGTTATGATCCAGCTTGGCCTGTGACCACTGCCCCTGAACCATCCTGGACTGGAGATGGGCTCCCCAACTGAAGAGACTGGCAATGGTGCTAAGAGCCAGACAGCTCGGTTCCTTAAATAGGCTCCCTAACGAACTGTGAAGCCCACCAACAGAAGGAATGAATCACTGCTGGAAGAACCCTAATCTTGCAAGGGAAATTGCTCCTCCCTACCCTTTGATAGGGTAGGAGAAACATTGGAGGGCCCTGGTGTGCAGATATGCCCAAGGCACAATGGAAATACAGGAAACCATCTTGTCCAGGAGTCACGAGAGCAGGGCCAGACCCTGCGTTCCTTCTTAATATGAGCTATCAAGTCCTTTAGGCTCTACTGACACTCCTGGGAGAGATAAACCTTGCACGCTAGAGTGTCTATCACTGCTTTAAATGGAACAAATGGTTTGTAGGAGAAAAATGGCTCTTGGCTGCATTTATGGAGAAACCGTGCTCCTGGAGAACCTGGACTGAGATCTTCAAGTCCTCAATTGCCTGTAGAGTGGAGGAGGATTGGACAAGGATGTCGTCCAGGTAGCACTGGATGTGCACAGGGAGAGCCCTAAGATGTGCCACTAAGGCAACTAACAGTTTTGTGAATGTCCTAGGTGCTGATGATAGACCAAAGGATAAGGCCCTGTATTGGAAATGTCGCCCTGTGTAGTAGAAGCGTAGATATTGCCTGTGAGCTGGTAATATAGGCACATGCAGGTAGGCTTCCATCAAATCTATAGATGTGAGGAAGTCGCCCTCCCTGACGCTCTCCAGAATAGACTGGAGCCAGTGCATCTTGAACTGCCTGTAATTTTGATTAGTCAGTGGTTCAGCTGTTTCAGGTCCAGAATTGCTCTCCACCCCCCAAAGATCTTTGGAATGACAAAGAGGATGGGGAATAGAATCCGATGTCCTATTGGTCCTTAAGAACTGGTTGGATCGCATGGATGTCTAACTTACGCTGAATAGTGGTCTCCATGAGGGCCTTCTTTGCCCTATCTCTGGAAATAGAGCAATGAATGAAAAAACCTTGGGGGTGTAGAGAGGAACTCTAGAGAGAGGCCTGACCTAACTGTCTCCAGTACCCAGGTGTCTGTGGTTAGTTCCTCCCAATGCCTGACAAACAAGGCCAGGTTGCCCCCCCAATGGGAGGGATGGCTGAGCAGTTACTTAAGAGTGTCGAAAGGTGCAACCCCCTCCTCCTCAAAAGGGACGCTTGGCTTGGAACTGCCTGTTTCTACCTGCCTAATCCTGCTGTGGCTCTTGCCTGGGAACAAAAGGCCTCTGGGGATGTGAAAATCCTGCCACTGCATCCGTCGCCCGAAAGGAGGGTGATGAAAATATGGTGCAGAGCAAAATTTGCCTCTTCTAGAGAAGGATGGCATGATCTTTCTCTTGTCCCTTGACTCTACCAGGACATTGTCCAGAGCATTGTCCAGAGAAGTGAGCAGAAGCCCTCCTCCACTTATGTCTCATGTCTGCCTACCACTGATGAAGCCAGAGCAGATGGTGTGAGACCAATGAAGAGCATATGGCCCTTGATGTGAACCTGGCCGCACTGAGGGTGGCATTTGCAGAGAACTCCACTGTGGCTAGCAGCTTGTTAATGTGTTGGTGTGATCTCATGTTGCCTGACAGGATCCTCTCTTGCAATGGGTGAAGTCAGATCAGGGATGCCCTGTTGAAAAATGATGCCACCATGGAGGCTTGACTGCCCAGGCCATGGCCTGATGGGTTCTCTGAAGCGTCTGTTCCAGTCTCTTATCCTCTGCCTTCAGGGAATCTTCCGGCTCACCGGGTATGGTGGAAGAAGATTGCAGAGCTGCCACAGGACCATGTAGGTATCTGGAGAGCTCTAGTGAGCTCTAAGCTCACATTATAGAACCTCTTGTCCAAGGAAGATGGGCTGGGCCCTAATCCTGATGAAGCCCATTGCCTCTGGACTACATCAGTGAACATCCTAGGGGATGGGATGACTTCTGCCTCCATGGTACTTTCAGAGAAGAGAGGGACAGTTGGATTAGCTGATGCCACAGCAGTCTCTGGACCCTCCAGCTCCATCCCCTGCCCAGTGGAATCCTTTGCCTTAAAGAGAAGAGACTTAAACAGGGCTGGTTGGAATAGCCCTGAAACTTAAGGGATGGTCTGGTTGCATACCTTCATCATCTGAAAGGTCCCTCTCCCTTTGCTCACCTACTTCCATTGGAAGGGATTGACTCTGCTGTGAAGGAGCAGGGGAGTATGGTTCTGAAAAGACTGAGAATTCCTCCTGAAACTGAGGTGCCTTTCTCAGGCTTGGGTCTAAGGAAAAAACAGAGGCAACCGAAGGTGATTGCCTGAACTGCTTCAAGCCTGCTGCTATGCCCTAAATTATTGCCTCTGCAATGACAGCTTGCATGTTGATCTGCATATCTGTTTCTTGCACCCCTCCCCAGTGAAGCCCAGCAGCTGTAGGGGTGAAAGTTGCCTCAGGTGCAGGTCTGGCTCTGACAGCTGAACTGATTGCAAAATGATTTGCAGGAAAGCCAGAAAACAAATCCCTGCCTTCAAAAATGCAAAAGGCGATTGTGATTCCTGCAGACAGAATTGTCCTTCAGCTCCCCCAATGGCCAAGTCCTGTAATTGCAGCCTGTCAGTCTGACTAGATTTGGCTCACCGACCTGCCTGCCACTCCTCAAATTGGCGGGAATCTGCCACGGTGCTGTTGGGTGCCGTTTGTGGGCTTCTTTCGGCTGCCTCTTGCTGCCCTTTTGCCCACAGACTATTCAGGACCTTGTCTCTGCAGCACACATCACTTTTGGCTGCTTGGAGCTCTTCCAAGACCCTGCAGCCTTGGATTTGGGCTTTGAAGTGCCCATGGATGCCATTGTGGCAAGGGCCTCAGAGCTCTGGGAGTCTAACAGCCTGCAAGCCATTTCCTCCACCTTCCTGCCTGCGCAGCTGCCATCTTCCATAGAATCAGCCATTTTGATTAATTTGATAGGCAGACTCACTCCCCAGAGAGCTCTGCTGCCATAGCAGTTTCGGAGGCATAATTAATGCGCTGGAAAGGGGCAATGACTGGAAGTACCCCCACTGGACCAGGAAAACTGTCAGAAGCCTCTAAAGGCAATTGCCACACTGATAGCCCTTTTCGCACTTTTTTGACAGCTGCTGCGCTTCCGCAGCTTGGCTGTCAAAGCATTAATCTAAACACAGCAAACGCCCTCCTGAGATATGTATGGTTAGTGGCATGGAACTAAACTCATTTACACTAACGAATGGTACTATACCTGAAGTGCCTGACAGTGTGTCAGCCCTCAGCCGATCCAGGCTGAAGCCCTTCATGCTGGGAGATCATTGCCACTCTGTTGGTAGACCAGGAGCCGGTTGTTCCAGAGGCAGTTTCCAGGAATAAATTGACCATTTGAAAGATGTGAATATTTTCCTCAAGTAATGGAGCAATTTGAAACACGTCCGTCCTAGCTGCTTGACTGAGTCAAAAGCTGGGGACCATTGGTAACAGAGGGGTATCCTCACAGCTCTGACAGACTCAGTCCAATCAGCTAGCAAGACAACGTTAACCCATTACTGGATGCTATCTCCACCACAAAGGAGAATGAACTGTCTCTCCTTTGTGGATTTCTAGTCTATCCCTGAGAAATGTCTACATGGTATCACTAGGTGCCACTATAGTGCATTATCTAATGAAATAAGACCTAACATTTGAATACAATGGCCAGAATAGCTTCTTTTGCCATTACTTTCCATGGTTGAATATAATAAATATTAAATATCCAAAGGAAAAATGATCCAAAAAGAATACGTAGCTGATTTAAAATTGAAAACTTTCCAAATAGAAAACCATCACACAAGGAAGAAAACAAGTATTATGTAGAGTACAGGTGTCAAATTTGTTATGATGCAGCCTGATTCTACAGTTGCTGAAATTCATTTTTTTCTCATTAATCTACAGTACCCCATAATGACAAAGTTAAAAAAGAAATTTAGAAATATATGTAAATTTATTAAAAAGAAAAAAAAAACTTGAAATATATTGGCATAAGTATTCAGACCCTTCATTCAGTACTTTGTTGAAGCATCTTTGGCAGCAATTACAGTCTTTTGGGGAATGACATGAAAAGCTTTGCACATCTGTATTGGGGGATTTTCTGCTATTCTTTCTTGCAAATCCTCTCAAGCTCAGTCAGTGGACAGCCATTTTCAGGTCCCTCCAGAAAGGTCAGGGCTAAAGCTCGGCCACTCTAGGACATTTACAGAATTGTCTTTAAGCTGCTGTTTGTCTTGGCTGTGTGCTTAGGTCATTGTCAAGTTGGAAAATGAACCTCCAGCCCAGTCTGAGGTCCTGACCACTGTGGTAGTCATTGAGGATATCCCTGTACTTTGCTCCATTCAGCTTTCATTCAATCCAGACCAGTCTCCCAGTCCCTACTACTAAAAAATACCACCACAGCATGCTAGTGGCTGCCACCACAATGCTTCACTGTTGGGATGGTATTGGGCAGGTGATACGCAGTATCTGGTTTCCTGCAGACATAATATTTAGAATTGAGGTCAAACAGTTCAATTAGACCAGAGAATCTTGTTCCTCACTGCCTGAAGTTCTTCAGATGTTTTTTTTGCAAACTCCAAGTGACCTTTCATGTGTTTTGCACTGAGGGTAGGATTCTGCCTAGCCACGCTGCCATAAAACTCAGGTCAGTGAAGGGCTGCAGTGATAGTTGTCCTTCTGATACTCGGATCCATTTCCACACAGGATCTCACAGTTCACTCAGTCAGAGTGACCACTGAGCTTTTGGTTACCTCTCTTACTAAGGCCCTTCTTCCCCAATTGCTCAGTTTGATTGGGTGACCAACTCTTAGAAAAGTCCTGGTTGTATTAAACTTCTTCCATTTGAGAATTATGGAGGCCATTGTGCTTTTAGGAACCTTTAGTGGAGCAGAAATTATATTGGAGCCTTCCCCACATCTGACCTTGCAATAATCCTGTCCTTGAGCTCTGCAGGCAGTTCCTTTGACCTCATGGCTTTTGCTGTGCTACAGTATGCAATGTCAGCTCTGACAATCTATAGACAGATGTGTGCCTTTTCAAATAATGTCCAATCAATGTAATTTATCACAGGTGGACTCCAATTAAGGTGTAGAAACATATCAGCAACAATAAAAAGAAATGAGAGGCACCAGAACCAAATTTCATGTGTTGTTACAAAGGGTCTGAATACTTATGCCAATATTATATTTCAGTTTTTTATTTTTAATAATTTTATAGGCATTTCTAAAATTCTATTTTCACTTTGTCATTATGGGGTATTGAGTGTAGATTAATGAGGAAAAATGCATTTCTACAACTGTAGAATCAGGGCTACAGCATAACAAAATTGAAAAAGTGAAGGTGTCTGAATACTTTCTGAATGTACTGTATATATAATGTGACTAGATACGAAAACCAACTTTGTATATTTGCTTACCACTCTGAATGCTAAATTATGAATGTTAAAATTCAGGTTAATTTTATTTAACATCTGGAGACAATGTCTAATTACTCTAGTAGCCTTCAGAGTTAATTGACAAAATGAATATTGTGATTGATGACTTATTTTAACAAATATTTAAGATGGGAAAAATAATTTTGGTTAGGACTATAAGCAAATATGTCATTGATCAAATACTTAGACCCCTGGCTGGCAGATAATAGAAATATTTAGAACCGTAGAAGGAATTGTTTTGGTTTTTAAAATGAATGCACCAATAAATGAAAAAATGAAAACTAAACACTGAGAAAGGGATCTTTTCTCTCTGTTTTGAAAGTAGCTGTAATGTTTTTATAAAAATGTTTGAATTAGAGTTATAGAAACAGTTTTTATCTTAAATGTAGACATTTTAATAAGTGAAAATGTCAATTATGTTGCTAAAATAATTTGCTTGACACAGTTTGGAAACACTCGTTTTGTTTTTCGAAATATCATTTTTAATGCAAATCTCTTGTAATTTTTCATGATTAATGTTTACCTAGTTTGACACAAGAATGTGCCCTGGTTCAGATATCATGTAAAGGTAGAAGACACGATAGCAACCAGAACTTCTTATGAACTAATGACTCAGACAAAAGATGTAGATGCTCTCCATTTCAGACAGTGCTGAGAAAAGATGAAATGCTTTTCTTTTCTTCCTTTTTGGCCTATGGAAGGTAGTATTTTTTGTTTTGAGTTGGGTTCTTCTGCAAAAGCTAGCAACAGCTCACTTATTTTACCATTATTTATAGTACATAAAGTCCCAGCTCATAACAATATATTCTCAAATAATTTAAGGCTAAATTAGGCCTTCATTAACTGGACTTAGCAAATAAAGCATTGTTTGGATGAGGACAACATATCTTGCCTGCCTGCCTGCCTGCCTTCCTTCCTTCCTTCCTTCCCAGGGCTTGTTCTTGAGAGCATTCATTTTTGATCCATTACAAATATGTTTATTCTTTCCAGGCTGCCCAAGGCCTATATCTCCTGAGATACTTCTTGCAGGAGAATACTTCAACCAATACAGCAGGCAGTCTGGATACATAATGCTGTTACTCATTGTAAAAAAAACCTTTTAAGATCCTTTATAATTAAGTGAGGGATGAAAGAATAGATAGATCTAAGTAGTGTCCTGTGCTTAGAGACAGATTTGAGAGAGAAGAGACCGGATCATATTAACTGTGGATGCATGCTGAGGTGAAATACTGTAGTGTGCTTTCATTGCTAGCAAGGGATGAAAGAAGAGAAACTGGAATGAGTTGCTGCCTAATTTAAGTAAACCCCCCTAGTCTCTGATAATTTGCTATAGGAGGGTGGTTTCAAATTAACTCCTTAAACATGATTAGGGATGAGCCATTTATAGATTGTTCCTTTTCATTCGGAGAAGAACTAGAATGGGTAATCAAAAGAGGGAAGATCTCAATCTCCTAGATTTCAAATTATTCTGTGGTGAGAAGACTCTGAAAAGCTAGTAACTCAGAAAGCTCAGAAGCCGTATGGTGAGGAAGGCAATAGTTATACAGTTTCTGAATTGGATTAAGAAAAAAAAAACGTCCCAAGAAAAAACTGGTACTGAGTACTTTTGTAGCACTGAAAGACTATGTAAATATTAGGAAGCAGAAATAAGATCCTTTAATGGAAATGTTGTATAATTAACACTCCAACTTTTGATTTAAAAATGAATACTTATTTTCTTATTTCAATAATTCTTAAACAAATACCAAAAGCATTTAGGAGCTCATCTCTAGCAAGTCCTTTCCCCATGCCCATGCAAGAAAGCTGGGATTTGTCTTCATCAGGCAGTTCATGCTAAGAATGAAATAATGTCATTAAAATATTGTTAGAAACGTTTATGAATATTCAGAATATATTTCTACACATTAGAATTGTAAAGCCACAATAGAAGCAAGAGGAGGAAGTTACTATGCTATTAGCAGAAGGTATTTGTTATGGACCAGATTCCACTGGTTTTTTTTCCAGAAGCATAAGAACCAAGTATAGGACTAAGAGACTATCATGTTTACTGATCAGATCATGAAATTCGTAGAGGAGGTGGTGTTGCTATCTTCTATAAAAAGTCCTTACATCTAAAAAATATCCAAGTTACCCAGGAGCTTGCTCTTCCTGAGACCATCATCTGTGAACTATCCTTAAATATCACAATTCGATTCTTACTATGTCACAGAGCACCTGATTATGACATCGAACATGTAAACAAGCTAAATACACTACTAACATGGGAAGCATCCTGCCCATACCCTTTTATCCTTCTTGGTGATTTCAATCTACCTCATATTGACTGGACCCTAAATGAATGTACACCTGAAACCATACACGCAACCTTCTACAATGCTGTTACAAGTCTGGGACTGGAACAGCTAGTAACCAACAACATTAGACTAAACAACTGCCTCGATCTCATCTTCTGCAATAGTTTGAATTCAATTTATGGAATACAAATTAAAGAACCCTTTTCCAACAGTGACCACAACATGATTGACTTTTGTCTCAACATACGTCCACACAAAAATCATCACAACGACAAAATCTCCAGTTATAACTTCAAAAAAGGCAACTATGATCTTATAATCAACGATCTCTCTTCCCTTGATTGGCAATTTCTATTCACTGGATGCAATACTGTTGAA